ATGACGAAGCAATTTGTCACATGACCGTTAACCAAACGTGATTCATCCAAATGTAATATCCGGGAACGGAACTGCCTTTGTCGAAATATCATCGACGGAAATAAAATTCGTATGTAGAATTGGAATCGTCGAAACAGCGCCAGGGGATGCACGGCATTCATTCAACTGTGTACGATACTGTATCGCACATAGGCTGTATTGCACATTTACCAAATACGGTAGCACGTCACGGTCCCTTATTTGGCAATACATTTCCCAGCACGACGTAATGTTTGCAGTTCGGGACGAATTAACCCAGGAATTCCTGTTTAGTTTCTTGTGACTGGACAACAAATGAAAACTATGAACAATAACTCATTCTTGTTTACATTTTAAATTTCACTGAATTTAATTTTTTAGCTTAGCGGCAAACAAAATAAACATAAATAACAATTGAAAGTCAGCATTCGCGGCGGTTCATTTTACACCCAATTATTATATTTGACTAATATATACATAAATAATTTGCAAGAAATGACGGAAGGTGATTTTCAGATAACAAATTTAACCACTGGGGTTTGGCATGGCAGCGAGTTAGCACCTGACACCGGCATGACAGTGAATTTGCGTAAGGGTCGGGCCATTAATTGTTTGGGGTGACTACAATCTGAACAGCGTTCTACAGCGTTATATTGTAGAAAATCTATGCTCAATATGGAATTTCAAAAATGAAAGTCATACTTCCTTGTCAACCACAAAATTAATCTACTAGGAAATTTCAACCCGTGAACTAGAAAAAATGGCTGGCCGCTGATACCATCATTTTTAACAAAGATTCCGACATAGTTTCAATGCAAGATATCGTCAACAAACGGTGTGCTATGACGTGTTCGGTTCTCGTGACGTCAACGTATGTGTTACAAACGTAGAGATGAAAAAAGATAAAATGTACGGGTAGGGTTCGAAATTACTTGAAGAGTAAACTACATATGCAGTAGGTTATCGTTACTATCGAAAGAATACAACAATTAAACGAACACAGCAAATGACCTTCGGTTTATGGACATGGTCTGTTCACGCCCGTATTCAAAACAGACCGCTGAAAAACTCTAAGTCGGTACCCGGACTATATGAATTTAGTCTATTTTCTTTTTTTAGGTCAGGCGTTTCACTATTAATAATTTATTGTTTCAATCATAAAACTATGATACCACTTATATAAAACATGACGTCACAGAAGACTACAGCAGTGATATTTTAAGATAATGAAATTTCACCGATGTCGCTGCAGACACTTTTATATGTGAACATTGCAAGAGCTATTTGCATTTACTCTGTGGTTTACAATATAAACCGTACTCGATTTCTGGCATCACGTGACAATGCTGTGTGTCTATCTTCCCGTCACGGTGACGTAGTCACTTAAATGTACGCCGTCACGTGTGACGACGTTTTTAGGTTAATTGATATTTTTGTGTAATATTGTCCGTGTGCTTTGCTAGTAAATATATAGTATCTTGTGAATTATTTTAAACCATGATACTACACAAAAATGAACACTTGGGAATTATATAATCATGCCAATTTCAATGGCGTCAACGATTCCTACTAATATACTAAGTATATAGGGGGCGTTTTAATGGAAACGCTGCTCTATAATATAATTATTATTATTCACGACAAATAAATAAACCCCGTCATTTTTGTTTAAATATGGGAATGTATAAATTTAATTTGGAGTTTCAAATTTAGTAGCACTTAGGATGCATTTTGCTGTTGTGGAAGCGCTGAACTCTGTGAAAAAATGTTAATAGCTAATATATTGAAATACTATTATTAGATCGGCGTTTAATTCTGGGGTTGTGACTCACCGTTTGGCGATTGTTGTATGGGTCATTGCCTTGTGATCTTTTATAGGGATTGTTTGCACTTGCAAACTACTCTGCTCATATCAGAAATCGACTCGGGACAAATTCAATGTCTGCGAGGAAAGAAATGCGATTTATAGCTAATACGCATACGTGACTAGAGTTTATTAGTTTTTCCAAAGGCCCCGGCCATTGAGTAAAACGAACAGAG